AATCAAGTTGCAGCTCGATGACCTCATTGGAGACGCAAAGGAGATAAATAGCTCACTGGAGGCCAGATACTCTCTCCCCGAGAGACATTCCTGTTGACAAGCCACATGGAGCTATGCTGATGGCAGCCAGAGCCTTGGAGCCAGAGGTGCCACGTGGAGATCCATGGCAGCACTAAGATGCTTCCACTGCCACTGGATCCACAAGACTTTCCACCCACACTGGCCTGTGATCTTCCTGCACTCAGCGTCACTGCATGGACTGTGTGAATCTGAAGAGGAATTTACAGACTGGTATTGGACATATGGGCTCATATCGGACTTATGGACTTGACCTGGACTGGGCTGGGATGTTTTCTTAATATACAATTAGTCTTTTATATAAAACTCTCTTATACACATGAGAATCTATGAATTTGTTTCTCTAGTCCATCTGGACTAACACGAGACTTTGGTTTTAAAGAAAACCTCAATGACCGATGTATGGACTTTTTGATTTTAAGTTGCTAAAAATAGATCGCATCACAATGTTTCACAGGCTAACGGTGTTGCCTGGAAATGATCAGCACTTAAGGGGTCCGGCGGGCCACTATGAGTTGGAATCTATCTGAGGCATACACAGCAGCAGGCACAGTGAACATTTCCTATAGTTTAATTTTCAGAACACTTTGAACACATCTAATAATTTTCTGGGAATGTTTTTTGGTCAATTCACCAGATCCTATACCTACAGATAAAGTATTCTACTAGTTCCTGAGTTTTACTGAGTCTGTCCACATGTAAATTAAGCTTGTGTCAGAAACGGTTAAGTCTAGATCAGCTTATATCTACATTGAGTGCATGCCATATGCCAGGCACAGGTGAAGCAATTTACACATGTTAATTTATTTAATTCTCACAACACAGCACAGAGGTGGGTAATCATATTATCTCCAGCTAATAGCTGCGGAAACTGAGGCTCAAATTTGCATGTTTCAAATCAATAATTGCTTTTAATTATAGAACGTGAGCTGATTTAAATGTAAAAAGAGTAATGATAAAAAATACTTTTTACCTTTCTTGCAGCCCTTTGAATATTTGGACCAAGGTGTCAGCAATCTCTTGTACCACTTCATGGTAATGGTAATTAAAAGCCATTTCAATATCCAAACCAACAAATTCAGTTAAATGTCTGTGGGTATTGGAGTCTTCAGCTCTGAACACTGTAAAGTTAAATCAATAAACGGTAAATGGTACTTTCAAGTTTAGAGAAACTAAGATTCAAACACAAAATTTGAGGAGTCTCCAAATCTTTTCATTACAGGGCTGGATGGACCTTTGAAAGGCCATCTGTTTTCGCTTCCTTTTGGATGGCACGTTCATTACAAATGCCTACAGTCATCTAGTCCAGGCCTCAAAGTCAGTTTGTAAATGAGGCTCATGAGGATACCAAAGCAAACGCAAGACCCCGAGGTGTCTTCTCAGCAATTTAAAACAGGTGCAGGTATGACCAATATACTGAGGAGTTCTCACTCATTAAAATTTTACTCACACTAAACAAGACCCTGTACAAGGGAGCATTATGCATACACTAGCGATTAATGTGGTCCGGAGTACAGCTATCCTAACTGTACTTTGCTCCTCCGTGGTCTTCTTGACTCCGGCTTGGCTCCATCATCAGATTTAGATTCCTAGAGCACATTCTTTCCTCAGTCACTTATGATTCCTAAATGCCCCCATAAAAAGACGATGTGGCCAAATGCACAACACACTGATGCTGAATGGTATTCACTAGAATGACATCTCTGTTGTCTCAATGAGGGAGCTTCAAAAAGTTGGAGGAAAATGGATTTTTATCCATAACGCCCACTTCTGTTTGAATTCTCTCTTATGGTGACTGACGCAAATTCCATCTTGTCCCTCTTTTGAACTTACTATCTAGTCTACATCA